CCGTGTCCTCCTCCTCAAGTGCTCGGATACAACCTCTCCCTAGGTTTGTCAACCGACGCCACTCCTATTGGATTCGACCCCGTCTCACGCCTCACACTTCTCTCGGTGTACAAGTGTATTACAAGTGATACTCATAATAATGGTTAAATACAATGATTTGTTCTCGATAACAAATGAGAACACAATGAAGCTCACTCTCACTAAATCACACACCACTACCCAACAATATATTGTATGGAAATATTATAAGCTCAATAAGGTGTGTGTGATAACAGTGAATGAAAATATGCAACTCAATTAAATATAGCTAAGTTATGAAAATAAATTAATAAGCTAATATAAGAAAGAGTTTAAAAAACTTCTCAATAAACAAGAAGAACAGTAGATGATGATGAGGATAGGATCCTCAGTTGGAATTGAAAGCCTCTTTTGTTGTAGAAAACTTTTTTTGAAACAGACAACTAAAATCAGCTTAAACAGCTCTTAAACACCTCTTAATCTTTTGTTAAAAACTTACTATAAAACAAACTCTTGGTGTTTTGAAAGAGGAAGACAATAGGGTATTTATGCCCACTCAAGACATCAGCCAAAACAACCTTGAAAAAACCAAAATAGCCCCAGAGAATCAAATCAGAATATAGCCGTTGCAACACAATGATGAGTTCGGCGGTCGACCGTGAAAATCTCGCGGTCGACCGCGAAGCACAAAAAGCTGAAGAACGATTTTGAAACACAGGCGGTCGACCATGAAAGTCTCTGGATTGAGCCACGGTCGACCGTCACGGTCGACCGCGATCCAATAAAAGGCAAAGATGGACTTTGAACATCCAATTAAAGGCAAAGATGGACTTTGAACTACTGGTGGTCGACCGTGACGGTCGACCGCAAACTGATACATGCTGAAATATAGGTTTTTGGCTGATTTTGAAAATACGTTAAAAATATCAAATCAATTCCAAAAATACTAAAACTTTGGAAAAAAGTTTCTAAATGATAAAACAAACATGTTTGAAAAGAAATATTTGGAAATGCAATTTTCGTTTGTGAAAACTCACTGTTTTTTAAAAGAGTTCATAAAACATATTTTTCGTGAACACAAAAATTGAACTATGCCTTGTAAACTTGTGTATATATATCATGCATACATTATATATATATATATTATGAAGTATGAAAGAGATGTAAACATGAAATAAAAACTATTGTAACAAAGTTTGATAGAAAATCATTTGTATGATAGAAAAAGTCAAACTTGTGTTGTGTTTACATATTGAGCTTACATATAATCATACGATACATGTAAGCAAACTACTCTTATACTTAGGTAAATGCACACACATGAACTTGAATCTTTAACTCTTGATTGCCGTGTGTTGAATTCTTGTAAAGAGAAAAACAAACCATAAAAACTAGAAAACATATTAGCTATAAATTGTTTGACAAATCATCATCAAAACCATAGGGCCAACAGAACCTAACGAACGATCCTAGATCTAGCTTTGGTACCAACATAGGATCCATATAACTATATGAATGCAATAGGGTGAATCCACATCTAGTATAAATAAAAAAATTTGGCATGCTTTTTAGGAAAATAAAACAAGTTTAGGGTTACTGATTCGGATTTAATCTGTAGGATTGCCACGCCTTTCTTGACCAACAACCAGAGCGCAACCACACTGTGCAACTGACGAGAAACCCCCGCATATCACTCCACGACTATAGCATAAAGCATGAACTTGATTGGAGAAGGAGATGGTGGTTGTTGTATGCATCTATATATTTTTTTCTCTCACCCATCATGGAAACCCCTATATTTATATTTAAAAGCTTGGTGATAGAATCATACACTTGCTAGGATTATGAATATCTTATCTCTAATATAAAAAATATTATCCACACACTTATTTGGGTGTCTATCTCACAACAATAACCAACAAATATAAAAATAGACATGTTTCCAAGGATCATTAATAGGATATGAATTACACTTTTCCTGTAAAAGTAGTAGTAATAAGGCTAAACTCCAAAAACTCTTGATCGATAACTTTGGATAATTATCAGATAACCTCCTATAACTTTTAAAATATTTAAAAAAATCTCAGAAACCTCCTTTGACTTTGCTTCGGATATCTTTGAGATTTTATCAAAAAAATTCCCCAAAAGCGTTAACCATAGTTTTCATATGAGTAGGTAAAATTACACAAGGTGATAGTTTTATTGGTGAAAATCGTGGTTCACATATTTAGGGGAGTTTTTTGAAAAAATAAAGAATTTGTGTGTGTGTGTGTTGATGGACTAGCATTTCATTCATTAAAGATTGGCAACAAAATCATGAAGTACAAATTTTCACACGTATAGAGGAATAAAGTCACTCCATCCTTGGTCCTGCTTACTTCTAGGAGTCCTACTGCGTAAGAGAATATGGAGAATATGCCAAGCACAATTGCTCTCTCTTCTTGTATAAGTGAAACCGCAAAAAGATAAAACTTTTAGCAAATAAATTAATATCATCACCATTATGCCCAACGGGTGTAAGAGAAAATGAACTGAAGTTTTAGAGTAGCGATCCGCATATATAGAACAATTTGATTCCACTGTAGTGCGAGTATAACCTTCCGAAGAAGAAGCCACCATAAAATCATGTTCAATTACTCTCAGCTCACAAATTAAAAGATCATAACAGCGTTCTAATAGTTGAGACCACACAAATTAAAGGGCTTTCTATTCCTTAAACAAAGGGGGATTCTTACATCCCTAAAATTAAGGGGTTCTGATATTCTAAAATTTATGAGGGTTTATTTGATAATCCTCAAAAGGCAAGGGGTGCTTCTGAAATTAGCCTTACTACTACTCGAAATATTGGATAACGTACTTTTTGGGGGAGGCGCTACAGGAATACCTTTAGACACACCACCAACCACACTCCCCTTTTGCTACAGTGTAACAGCCCCACATGTGATTTTTCTAAGAAAAATCACATGTGGGGTCGTTGCACTGTAGCAAGGGGGAGAGTGTGGTTGGTGGGGGTTATTGGTTGGGATAAATTGGAGCCAAGTGGGAAAATTATTCTAATGGAACAATTTTACCCCTTTGGGATATTTTGAGTGGGGTAAAGTGGGATAATGGGATAATTTGAGCATTTGCTTTGACAATTCATGTGAGATAATTGATGATGTGGCACCTTATTAAAATATAATTTTATCTATTAATTACTTCTAAATTAACTTATCTAATTGGTTTAGTATATTATTTAGTATATTATTATAATATAAATATTATTTTACTTTATATTAAAATATAATATATTGTACTATACTTACAAATGTTACTAAAATATTATATAATATTATAATAAATACGTTATACTATAATTACTAATTAATATTATATAATAATATATTACATAATATTATTAATATATGTTATTAAAATATTATATATATGATATTAAAATATTAATATATGTTATTATATAATATTATTAATATATGTTAGTATAATATAATATGATAAATACGTTATACTATAATTACTATTATATAATATTATTAATATATGTTATTAAATTATGTTATTAAAATATTAATATATGTTACTAAAATATTATATAATATTATAATAAATACGTTATACTATAATTACTAATTAATATTATATAATAATATATTACATAATATTATTAATATATGTTATTAAAATATTATATATATGTTATTAAAATATTAATATATGTTATTATATAATATTATTAATATATGTTAGTATAATATAATATGATAAATACGTTATACTATAATTACTATTATATAATATTATTAATATATGTTATTAAATTATGTTATTAAAATATTAATATATGTTACTAAAATATTATATAATATTATAATAAATATGTTATACTGTAATTACTAATTAATATTATATAATAATATATTACATAATATTATTAATATATGTTATTATAATATTATATAATATTATAATAAATATGTTATACTATAATTACTAATTAGTATTATATAATAATATATTACATAATATTATTAATATATGTTATTATGATATTATATAATATTATAATAAATATGTTATACTATAATTATTATTATATAATATTATTAATATATGTTATTAAATTATGTTATTAAAATATTAATATATGTTATATTTTATATATCATGTCATATATTTATAATATAATTGCATGTATTAGTTAAGTAATACAAAAATATTTTAAAATTATCCCAATTGCTTTCAAAGTGGAACAACATTGTTTCAATATGGAGGATGAGGTAAATTTTTACTATTGGGATAAAATTTTTGTATATAAGTGGAGTAATTTTATCTCAAGTGGTGTAATTATTTCACTAGTATTCTAAAAAACCAATAACACAAAAATATATTACCCTTGTTCCATTGTCCCAATAAATAACACTATGAAATAGAATCTCTAAAATTATCTCATTATCCTCCAAAATATCCCAACCAATAACCCCTAAGAATGTGTGTCAGGAGCCAACGCAGAGGCAGCTGGAATTGAGGCTGGCAGCTGGAATTGAGGCTGGAAGCTGGGAAGCTGGGAAGGAGCTGACTGTGTGTACATGTGGGACTGATATGCAAGAATAAGGACTGATACACAAATGATTGGGGCTAGCATGCAAATTCTCAAAGTTTAAGGGCTATAATACTTGTTTGACTGTTTGTTGTTAGTTTCTGTTAAAGATTCAAATGTGTGCACGTGCACAGTTAGGGGTTGTTTTTCTGTTATTACTGTTAGTGATTCAACATTGTGCACATGCACAATCTGTTTAGAGGAGAAGAATTGTATAAATAGTCAACTGTAATAATTGAGATACAAGTTGTTGAGTAATACAAAATCTCTTCTTCTCAATTCTATACAATTTCTTCATTCCACTCTCTCTCCCTCTCTCTCTCTCTCTCTCTCTCTCTCTCATATCTCTGTCTCTTCTTCTCAAAGCTGAATTAAGCTAGAATCAATGGCTAGGAAGATGAATCGAGGTCTTCGATCCTCACAATTGGTATCAGAGCAACAAGAAACTGAAGCGGGCGCTGAGGATTTCTTAAACAATCAGGTGGAAGTTGAGGTTGATGAGCCTACTCCAGAGGATCGATTTGCTCGATTAGAGGATGCTGTTGTCAGGAGCAGTTCTTTCAATCGACAACAGGATTCTTTCAATCATAGATTTTCAACACAGATGGGTGAACTATCTTTGAAGCTGGAGTTCCTAATTCAAGAGTTCAAGAATTTCAAGAATTCCAAGAATTCTGACCAAGGAATTCTTGGCTCTGGACCAAGGGAAGATCACAGGACTCTGGATTCAGGTTCAAGAGGAGCTGGTGACTTCAATAGGAATGATCACGGCAGTGGATATCAGCCACAGAATCGAAGGACTCCTGATTTTAGTGGGGAGTTTCAATCTGCTAATAGCTTAGGTAATGCATCAACTCCAAGAAACTCTTTCTTTAGCAATCAAAAACTTGTTCAACCAAAATCTCTACGCTTGGATTTTCCTTCTTTCTCTGGATCTGAGAATATTATAGCTTGGTTAGAGCAAACTGAACAGATCTTTGAGTATTATGATATTAAAAATGATGAATGGGTCAAGGTTTGTTCATTCTATCTAAGGGATGAAGCCTTGCAGTGGTATAGATGGCTCACTAGGAATATTGAAGATTATTATCAATGGACTGTATTTAAGGAAGAAATTTTAACAAGATTTGGTCCTAGTGAACTCACGAGGCCATATGATGCTTTCTCAACCATGAAACAGACTTCTATAGTCAGGGAATACTTGGGAAAAATTGAGCAAGCATTAGGAATGTTAGATGATCAACCCTCTAGGAGACACATTCTTGAAAGGTTTATAGGGGGGTTGAAAGATGAATTGAGATATGATGTTTCAGCAACTAGACCAACTTCCTTAAAGGGAGCTGTATCCCTGGCCAAACTCTTTGAGGACAAGCAGAAAAATGAAAGGAAATCTAAGGGTCACTGGAATTACTTAAATTCAGATGGTTCTTCAATGAACAAATCTCAAAATCCTTCTATTAAATCTTCAGATCCTCAGACAGTCAGACCCTTTCATCAATTCAAGAAACTGACCCCTGAAGATATACAAAAAAGAAGGAGTCAAAAAAACTTGTGTTTTACCTGTGATGAAAAATAGCATAGGGGTCATCAATGCAAAGGGAAACAATTGTTTGTCTTAGAAGGGTGAACTGGATAGGACTGTAGTAGATTCTGGAGAGGAGGAAGAAGAAGATTCTAAGGTCATGGAGTTGGCTGAAAGCCTAGCAAGTGGAGCTCCCTCTATTTTAGTACAAGCATTGAATGGAATTACTGCCTCCCACACAATTAGGGTGGTAGGATATTATAAAAAGCAGGCTGTTAACATCTTAATAGACTCAGGATCTACCCACAATTTTATTAATGCCAAACTAGTTAAGAAATTGGGTATAATAGTAACAGAATCAAGTAATTTTGATGTTCTAGTAGCCAGTGGTGAACTAATTAAAGGAGGAGGAGTGTGTTCAAGGGTATCTTTAGACTGCCAAGGGGTGAGTATTCAGGTTAACCTATTGGTTATGCCTATGGGAGGCAGTCAAGTGGTTTTAGGAGCTGACTGGATGAGAATGTTGGAGGATATTACTTTGAACTTCAACAAACTACAGGTGACATTCATGAATGAGGGGGTTAAGAGAACCTTACAGGGAGTACTCCCAGGTGATTTGCAGTTGGTTGACAGTAAGCAAATTGCAAAAACTCTCAGAGAGCAAGAGCAAGGATTCTTCATCCAATTGTGCAGTGTGAGTCTACAAAAGTGCACAACAGAAGGTGCACAGGAAGACTTACCTACAGAAGTGCAAAGGCTGATACAAGAGTTTGAAGATGTATTTAAGGAGCTACTACAACTTCCTCCTAGAAGGGACATAGATCATAAATTTCCACTGGAAGATGGCACAAAACCAATCTGTATCAGACAATACATGCATGCACACCTTTTAAAAGATCAAATTGAAAAACAAGTGGAGGAAATGCTTCACAGAGGAGTCATTAGATCTAGCAACAGTCCCTTCTCTTCTCCAGTTGTGATGGTAAAAAAATCTGATGGAGGGTGGAGGATGTGTGTAGATTGCAGATCTCTTAATCAAGCTACCATCAAAGATAAATTTCCCATACCTGTGATAGATGAACTTTTGGATGAATTGCATGGGGAAAAATTCTTTACTAAGCTGGATTTAAAATCTGGATATCACCAGATTAGAATGCATGAAGCTGATATTCCAAAAACTGCCTTTAGGACTCATAGTGGTCATTTTGAATTTCTGGTAATGTCATTTGGCCTCACTAATGCTCCTTCTGCTTTTCAAGCCCTTATGAATTCTATCTTCAAAGACCTACTCAGGAAATCTATCCTTGTCTTCTTTGATGATATTTTGATATATAGTGCAAAGTGGCAGGACCATTTATTTCATCTGAGGCAAGTGTTCTTGATTATGAGGAAACATCAGTTGGTGGCAAAAATGTCAAAGTGCAGTTTTGGACAACATCAGGTGGAATATTTAGGCCATGTTGTATCACAAGAGGGAGTTGGGGTTGACCCTAACAAGAAAAAGGCTATCATTGAGTGGCCAAGACCAACAACCTTGAAGAGGTTGAGAGGTTTTTTGGGCTTAGCAGGATACTATAGAAAGTTCATCAAAGGATTTGGAGCAATAGCACAGCCCTTGACCCAACTTTTGAAGAAAGGGGCTTTCATATGGACTGACTGTGCTGAAAAGGCTTTTGAAACATTGAAGGAGGCACTGACTCAACCTCCAGTCCTAACTATGCCCAATTTCAATTTACCATTTATCATTGAGTGTGATGCTTCAGGGTCAGGTATTGGGGCTGTATTGATGCAAGAGGAAAGACCTATAGCTTACTTCAGTTTTGCTTTGAAAGGAAGAAATGTTACATTATCCACATATGAGAAGGAGTTAATGGCAATCATTCTATCAACAAAAAAATGGCAGCAGTATTTACTAGGGAGAACATTTGTGATCAGAACTGATCATCAGAGTCTTAAATACTTACTGGAGCAAAGAATACACACATGTATTCAAAATAAATGGCTTGCGAAATTACATGGCTATGACTATAAGGTGGAATACAAGCCAGGTAGATTGAATAATGCTGCAGATAGTTTATCCAGACTTCAGGATGATGGAGATGAGATTCCTGCTCCTATAACTGAGGTTTCATCACTCACTACTCTTACCAGTGATTGGTTAGAGGAGATTAAACATATGTGTTCTACAGATGATTATTTTGAGCAAGTGGATGCCAAGTTGCAGCAGGGACAACTGGATACTGGAAGATATGTCAAGAAAGGAGGGCTCTACTTCTACAAAGGGAGACTTTTGATTAGTCCTACAGCTCAACACATTAAATCCTCCTTATTGAAAGAGCACCATGATAGTCCAATAGCAGGGCACTCTGGAATCACTAGGACCCTGCAGAGGCTTAGACAAGCTTGTTATTGGGAAGGTATGAAAAGGGATGTCCAGACTTATGTAAAAAATTGTGATGTCTGCCAAAGAACAAAAGGGGAAAACATAGCCCCCCCAGGACTCTTGCAACCCTTACCTGTTCCAGATTATATATGGGAGGACATTTCAATTGATTTCATTACTCAACTACCAAAAAGTGGGGATAAAAGTGTTATTTTTGTGGTGGTGGACAGATTGTCTAAGTATGCTCATTTTTTCCCACTGTCACATCCTTACAATGCTTCTTCAGTTGCTCAGGTGTTCTTTGAAGGGGTGTTTAGATTGCATGGCATGCCTAAGTCCATAGTGAGTGATAGAGATCCCTTGTTTACAAGTCTCTTTTGGAAAACATTGTTTAAATTACAATGTAGTCAATTGAAGTTCAGCTCAGCCTATCACCCCCAAACTAATGGCCAAACAGAGATTATTAACAAAATTTTAGAGGGTTATCTGCGCTGTTTTTGCTGCCACAAGCCTAAGGAGTGGAGTAAATGGCTGCCTCTCACTGAGTATTGGTATAATACAACCTGGAAAGTATCTACAAACACCACTCCTTTTACAGCAGTATATGGCAGGCAGCCCCCTTCCTTGCTTACTTATATCCCTAAGAGCTGAAGCAGTGGATGAGGTTGAAGCAGTGGATGAGGTTCTCTTTTCCAGAGATATAGCCCTTCAGTTGTTGAAAGAAAGTTTGAAGAAATCAGTGATGCAAATGAAGAAATTTGCAGATAGACACAGGAGCCACAGAATCTTTGCAGTAGGTGATTGGGTTATCTTAAACTTCAGCCTTATAGGCAAGTCAGTGTCTCTTCATGCAAACCCCACAAATTATCTCCCAAGTATTATGGTCCATACCAGATTTTGGAGAGGATAGGTGAGGTAGCTTACAAGTTAGAACTTCCTACTCATGCTAAGATCCACCCTGTCTTTCATGTTTCCCAGTTAAAGAAGAAAGTAGGTTCTGATATCAATTTACAGAGTGACCTGCCTAGTTTTGTAGAAGAAATAATTGATGAACCTAAAGCTATATTGGATAGAAGAACAATCATTAAAGGGAATCATTTGGTCTCTGAGGTTCTTATTAAGTGGAAGCAAAGACCTTCAATAGATTCAACTTGGGAATCCTACTAGGACTTGGTGAAGAGGTTTCCCATTTTTGACCTTGAGACAAGGTCAAATTTAGGTGGGGGAAATTGTCAGGAGCCAACGCAGAGGCAGCTGGAATTGAGGCTGGCAGCTGGAATTGACGCTGAAAGCTGGGAAGCTGGGAAGGAGCTGACTGTGTGTACTTGTGGGACTGATATGCAAGAATAAGGACTGATAGGCAAATGATTGGGGCTAGCATGCAAATTCTCAAAGTTTAAGGGCTATAATACTTGTTTGACTGTTTGTTTGTTAGTTTCTGTTAGAGAATTCAAATGTGTGCACGTGCACAGTTAGGGGTTGTTTTTCTGTTATTTTCTGTTATTACTGTTAGTGATTCAACAGTGTGCATATGCACAATCTGTTTACAGGAGAAGAATTGTATAAATAGTCAACTGTAATAATTGAGATACAAGTTGTTGAGTAAGGGACTGTTTGTTTCCTTTTTTTAGAGGAAAAGATGGGGAAAGCCTGCCAAAAGTGCAGCTTTTGGCAGGCTTTTCACTCAAATCGCTTCTAAAAGAGACGATTTGAGTAGAAAGCCTGCCAAAAGTTGCACTTTTGGCAGGCTTTTGACAGGCTTTCTCTACCTTTCTCTCTCAAAAAAAAAAAATAAAACAAACAGCCCCTAATACAAAATCTCTTCTTCTCAATTCTATACAATTTCTTCATTCCACTCTCTCCCTCTCTCTCTCTCATATCTCCGTCTCTTCTTCTCAAAGCTGAATTAAGCCGGAATCAATGGCTAAGAAGATGAATCAAGGTCTTCGATCCTCACAATGTGCCCCTATCATTTATTTTTTATTTTTTTTAAGATTCACAACCTCTGTCAGAGACGGCCTCAACGGCAGTCAGAATCCCGAGAACCCCCCCGTGTTCTCACCGCAGCCTTCCAGTAAAATGGAACCTAAAAAACCCATCAAATATTTAAATATTTATTAAGGTTAATAGCATCGATTCATGTAACATCAACTTGGACAATTAATTGTAAATAAAGGAAAATAAATACAAATGCAAAAAAGAAGGCTACGTTTGTCTGCCTAGCCCACCAACATCCGCACGTGCACGTCATTACTGCTCCTATGCCTTGAGGTCTCTTGGTTTAATTTCACCGGCTGTGCTCACTCTACTAAAAGAGTGTTGTTATGGGGATCTAAAATATGAGATCAATAGAGGGGACAAGTAAGGTGTCCCCTCCCTATTGCATAATGAGCTGGTCATGCCAACTCATTATGCAATAGGAAGGGGACACATCACCTGTCCCCTCCCTTGGTCTTATATTTTGGGTTTTTAAATCATTTTCCCTACTAAAATAAGCTGAACAATTTCGGCTAGCTCCAGTTTGGATGCTTTTGGCATAGCCGCATAGGCGGGTCAGGTATTGTTGAAAATCATTGGTAATTATATATAATAAGTTGTTTCTAAAGGTACAATTTAAGGTGTTTTCAAACTTATGATTATGATTGAAGATCATCGTAAGTGAAAATAAGTGAAAAGATATATATACCCTTTAAAAGAGGAAGTTATGGAAAAACTTTTTATGGACAAAAGTACCCTTAAACTTTATTCATATTACATTATTACAATGTAATCTTATCCTAATTAATTTAAAATAATTGCTATAAACTTCAATTATTCTATTCTAAAAATACCATTGAACCTTTTAGGAATTACATTATTATAATATAATCTTATCATAATTAATTTAAATTAATAGGTATAAGCGTCAATTATTCTATCCTATCCTAACTAAAACGGAGTTTGGATAAACTTTTCCATAGACAAAAATACACTTACCCTTCTAGATATTATATTATTATAATATAATCTTATCATAATTAATTTAAACTAATAGACATAAGCTTCAATTATTCTATTCCAAAAAATACCATTGAACCTTTTAGGTATTACATTATTATAATATAATCTTATCCTAATTAATTTAAATTAATAGGTATAAGCGTCAATTATTCTATTCTATCCTAACTAATACGGAGTTTGGGTAAACTTTTCCATGGACAAAAATATACTTACCCTTCTAGATATTACATTATTATAATATAATCTTATCCTAATTAATTTAAATTAATAGATATAAGCTTCAATTATTCTATCTTAAAAATACCCTTGAACCTTATAAATACTATATTATTATAATATAATTTTATCCTAATTAATTTCAATTAATAGGTATAACTTATAAGCTTCAATTATTCTATCCTACGCTAATCAATACGTATATAAGCTCATATTTGATTTAAGTATGTAAAAATTTATATAAAAGTTATATATTTAAGTATTATAAAGAATTTTTACTAAATCCTCAATAAGTATATTAAAAATTATATTAAGTTTTAGATTTAAGCATGTTAAGAATTCTCAAAAGAAACGATTATAATAATTGATTTAAGTATGTTAAAATTTTAATTTTTTTTTACTCCATAATTGAAAAGACTTCAAAATATTAAAAAATTTTATAGAAAATATATGATTTCATTATGATCATGTTTTAAGTAATTGAAATATCTTTAATAAGATGCATCTATATTTATTTAATATAAATTATAAAATAGAAATTTTAAAAATAAAAAAATTAGTTAATATAGGAAACATATAAAGATTTAAAACTACAACCATCTAATGATTTAAATTTGGTACCTAACAAGTAAAAGAAAAAGAACTCTTCCTCTTATCATTTTATGTTTATATTTAAAATTTAAAATAAAGATAAAAATAATTAGATCAATTATAAAATATTCTCACCTCTGAAATTATCTTTATAAGTAAGGAGATAAATGTTAATTATGTGTTATTAACTGAGATAGAAAATATCTAAAATCCATAAAACTTACATAATCGTAGAAATCTCTAAAGGACTTCCATAATTTGAAGATTTGATAAAAAAAAATTTACTTACAAAAATTGGTAGAAATAACCAAAAGAATATAAAAATTGTATATTTTTTGAAAAAAATTCATAAAGCTTATCAAAAACCCAAAAGACTTTAAAATATTAAAAATTTTGCAAGAAAATCCTAGATTTTACAAATTTATGAAAAGCCTAGATTTTACAAAATTTTTGAAATATGCAAAATTACAATCATTTAAATCTTTACAAAAAAATTGCTAAATTAATAAAACACAAGAACTTAAAAAGTTTATAGAAGAAATAATCCTAACACTTCAAAAAGACCCTTAAAATTTTATTAATTTACAAAAAGTATCCTAGAACTTTAAATTTTTTTGTCAAATAAGATGACTCTTAATAGCAAGTAAATATCATGAAATTTGATGAGTAAAGCCCAAGAATGAAAAATATTAGATGTAGCTCATTTATGATCATTATCTGCAAAATAACTAATCTAATAAGAGCAAGCATATATTCCATTTATTCACAAAATATATACATTATATTAATACATGCATGATTTTTTTGTAGCTCCTTAAATCATTAGTATTTTGATATTAATCCCTCAAGTTGCAAAAATATGTAGACATCAGTTACTATATTATGTTTATGGTCCAAAATCCTTAATCATGGTTAGGTTTAGACTAACCATAGATGTAATGGAGGAGTTCTAATAGGCTTTTATAGCCTCTAAAAATAAAAAGAGTTGTTAAAGAAGATGAGCTCACCATTTTATCGGGCCGTTAGAGTAGATGAGTTGTGAAATGAATTCAGATTGGGCCTTTTATTTAGTTTCTTGAGCTTAATGGGTACGGATGTTTTGGGTATTAGGAGTGAGAGCATAATTATTAATTTCCTTAAAAACGTTAAACATAACAAAATATTCCCCGTCATTTATAATACCAATTAACTATAGAAACTCATATCAACATATTTATGCACTTTGAGGGGCTAACATCAAAATATAAAGATTTGAGGGACTAATAGTAAAATACTAATAATATAAGGGACTGATAAAAAAACCCACATGTATGTCTATGTGTGTTTGTGTGTATGCGATAATTAAAACAATTTACGAGATGATGACTACATTAACAACTAGGAATTTATCAACCGATCATCAACCTTGATACACTTGGATATTGTAGACTATTTCTGCTCATTTTATTTTTAAATTTATGTGTTCTTATATGTGAACACTCAAAAATTCTTCATAATACTTTCTGTTATTTTTTGTTTTGATTAAGTTTCTCATTTTTTATGTTCATAAAGCAAAATTAAACAATAAAACAATTATTTCCACAATAAAGTTATAACAAACATATAAACTCAACAGAAATAAATAGAATATTTAACCATGTGCAACATTCGTGCATCCCAACTAGTTATAAAGGGAATGTGGGAGACAATGATGGTACTTGGGAAGGCATATTTTTAGGAGCTTAGATGTCACGTTGGTTTTTTAATGGCTTTTGATTTTTATAGTAAAATTCTTATAAAAGTTATATGGATAAAATGATCATTTACTTGGTCAGACCTAGCTTATTTATATTAGTTTTAATCTAAATTTCTAAAAGGAAGGGAATTATTGTTAAAAATTAAAAAATATGGGAATCCCAACTTTTTAAATGGGATTTATAAGGCACCTTACTTATGATTTACTAAACAGTTAAATATGAAAAAATTAGCTTAAAAGCTAGTTTTACCAAAATGTAAGTTCTCCTAATATAGTTTCAGGAGAAATAAGATAATATTATCTAAAGCCAAAAAGGTATATACATTGTAAAAACTATAAAAAGTAGAAGCTACTTTTAATATCATCCACATATGTACTAAGTTATGACACTATGAATCCTAAATGTCATGTGGAATAGTCAAGTTTGAATAGTTGAAGTTTACATGTGTTCTCACTTCTGTTTCTAAGAGCATATTTGGGAACTTTGGACAGGAATCCACTTAAATTCAAAGTGGATTATAACCTAGAGTGTTTGGTAAATTTAATAGTTTATAAATCTATTTTCAATAGTAGAGTTTTTAGCAAATGAACGGATTATGATCATCATTATCGTCAGAATGACTAAAAAGTATAGGAAGTTGGTAGTGAGTTATTAAATGT